CCCCCCCACCCCCCCCACCCACCCCGCTTTTCACCTTGTCTGTAGCCTCCGCCGGAATCCCCCCGCCCTGGTCCGTCACGACGAGCATGACGTCATCCTCGCCATGAGGCCTCACGGAAATCACCACCTCGGGCACGTCCGCAAAAACGATATTCGAGCCGCCGCCTTCCTCGGCTCCTTCTCGCTCCTGCACGCGAGCATCCTCCTCCGCCGCCACGTCCATCCCGACCCCGGCTTTGCCGCCGCCGTGTGCCTGCATCGTGGCGCGCATGGAGTTCTTGAGCAGTTCGAGGATGACGTAGTGGACGTACTCCGGCACCGCGGCGACGAGGCCGTCCCCCGCCGGGTCGACGCTCAAGCGGACTTCGGGGCAGGCGCCAAGGGCGTGGCAGCAAATCGAGGCGGCCTCCACCGCGGCAGACTGCGTGCGAGCAAAAGATTGTGTTTGTGAATGGCAAAGGGAGAGAAGAGAGAGATAAAGAGAGTGAGAAAGAGAGAGAGGGAGAGAGAGACAGACGGACGGACAGACCGGTAGACAGAGAGCGAAAGAAAGAGAAAGAGTGCGGTCGTGTAAGCGCTGCAGCAGTTTTCAAGTCGGCGGTTCAGCTGGCCGGCCCGATATTTCGAGAGTCCATCATAATGAGCGAGGGATACGCTAGCGCTTTTTTAGGCCGTCGTCTGTACTTCTTCTGACCAGCTCTTGTCACCTGCACGATCCCCGCCAAGCTAACCCCTCGCTGGACCAGGCCCACGAAGCCATCCCGCTGTGTCGAAGACAGGGCCAGGTAGTGCCCGCAGAGGAACCTCATTGCGACGCGATTCTGCAGACGCCGTGCGCGGAAGCAGAAGGCGAGCAAGTCCGAGAGAGTTGACTCCCAAGCGCGAGCAGACAGCCATCGCTGGACCAAGGCCGCCCTGGCCGCAACACAACAAGAACTCGCCCCCCTCACTGTCTTCATCCATCCCCTTCGAGTGACTTGCTGTGGATATATCTCGAACTGGAAGTCTTTGAGTGTATATGCACATTTTCGAAAAAGCAGAAAAAAAAAAATCGTACAACGAACACAGAAGAAGCACAGAAGCATTCCATCACCTGGTAAAAATCGTCCAAGAAATCTTGGATCCGCCCAAGCGCCTCGCTTTCCTCCCGCTTGCCACCCCGCATCAGATCCTGCAGCCCGCAGGCCATCTGCAGCACCGTGTCGCTGCCCCGCTTCTGTACCCTCCTAACCGTCTCCGTAAACGCCGCCACCTGAAGGGACGCAGGGGCAAGAGGCTCAAATTAGCTAGCACCCGGCTTCGCAGGGCGCGAATGGATGAGTACATATCACGGGGGTAAAACATGTGTCTCGAACCCAGCAGTCGGGGATAGAAGCAATTGAGAAGAGGATACACGCCTACTTCGATGTGTCTTGACCCTGCAATCGGCCAGGGCACGATATGTACACTCAGGACCGACATCGAACAACGATTAAATTCCACAGGGGTCCCTGTTTGTCTCGTGTGACCTATGGGTGTGATCAGGTCATGTTCTGCACCAGGCTCCTTCAGCGCCAAGTTTCCCTGTTTGTGGTCTTGGAATGTCCAAAGCAAAGGCCCTCGGCAGGTTCTCTCCTTCTCTCTGTCACTCTGTCTCTCTCTCTCCCTCTCTCTCCCTCTCTCTCCACATACATCCATTGCAGATGCATGTCGTCTAGCAGCAGAGGTATCAGAACATCTGCATCTCGCTCTCTCTACCTACTAAGTTAGGCTCATCTCTTGTGTCTCGCTCTATCCGCCCCTCCAGTGTTCCTTCACCTGTTCCAGCTCGTGCGGCCTCGGGGACTCTTGCAGCTCCCGGAAGTTCTGAAGGTAGTCCTCGCGTACTCGTTTCACGGGAAGGGTGGATGTTAGCCCTGTATCCTTCATCTGGGAACAGTAGCAGAAGCGGTGGACAGCCACGAGAACAACAGAACGGGATGGTTCGTGAGGAGCGAGAGAAAGGATGGCCAAAGCAGTGACGGACAGGGTCGACGCGCGTAATCGGCTGCCAGCCTCGTATCTTTAAAGAACCTCTGGCATACCTTAGCAGGAGCGCAAGTGCCACACCGCAGCCTGAGAGTGCAAGCGCGATACTGCAAGATTTGCTGCGGAAGGAAGATTGGCGAACGTATTTGACATTGTTTGGTTGTGTGCAGTCTGTTCATTGGCCCGCGCCTAATGTTCACAGTTAAACCATCCAGGATACAAGTGAAATGCTGGTAAGGTCATTCTGAAAATCAAACCAGGCTTGCAAAATCCACCAGGCACTCAATACCGACCCGCAACTGTGTTGTGGCAACCGCCCGTGGTGGATGACACGGCGTTGTTGACACGGCGGTGTTTGCCGCTTCTTGTTTAATATATTTATGGACCGGAACAAGTAAGATAATCCCGCCTTCTTCAAGCATGTGCACGCCACGCCAAGCAGACAGAGTGTCGCAGGGAATAGAAGTATTCGACGAACATGTGAGCTGATTTGCCTAGGACATAATGCGGAGCAAAAATGCTATCGAATTTAGAGCGGTAATTCCGTCGCACGACCTAACCCACCAGCTCGGGTTTATTCACAGACGATGGCAGTCTTGACTGCTGTGTATAGTATTTAGTAGAATGGTACGATGCGCGAAAACAAAATGCCTACCGGCGACGTCATTCCCAAGTCGCATTTTGCGGGCTGCAAAAGGTCGTGCCGCAAAGTCTCGTATATGCTGCAACCGTTCGAATGTTGGGCACCACTTCCGCGCTGCTTCCGGCTTGTAGATTTCGCCGCACAGCATATCGGGGGATTGCGCGACAAATTGTCGGTTGACACGATTAGGGAAATATCTTAGAGCGCGCTGGTTGGTGTGCCTCTAACGCAAGAACGCATCGCCAATTTTATCCTCTCGGGGATTTCTACTTACGGGTAATTGTAGAGATTGCTTTTATATGTTGTTGTTTTTTAAGGAAAACTCACAGCGCACCTTGTCTAACGCCGTGACCGCCTGCGCTAATCTGACCGGCAGCTCCCGGTGAAGGTACTGCGCGCTCTGCAGCTGGCCCTCTGCTATCTTCCGTCTCTCGGCGTCCGAAACGTAACTCGTGCATGCCCTCCGTCCGAGTTCTGGTTCTGGGCCGGCCGACACGTCCGGGTTGGCCGCACCGAAAGAGGCCCTCCATGGCCTCTCGCCAGTCGAGACGTCGAGTATCGACTCGAGACTCACTCTCACCTGCTTGCGCTTGGCGCTGAACAAGCAACCAAAGCATGATGCGCAGCAGCAGAGGCAACCCAGAGGGCCCGCATACATTACAGCAGGAATGTCCCCGACGAGCGTGTTTTTCTTTAAAAAAAAACACGTGCAGCACACACACTCATGCAGACTGACAGACACGGTCGTGCACATTCTGACGTGTTCTCGGAGGCAAAAGAAGCTGCAAGTCACATGCCCGTGTGTGCGTGTGTACCAGCAGCAGACTTCGAAACACGCATCAAGGCGAGAGATATGCATGCAACATGGGAGAGCCAGCAGCAGCAGCACTCACCACGACTTGATGAGATCCTTTTCCCAAGGTTTTCGGAAAGCAGAATCATCCAGGATGGCGGCGGTGTAGCCGCCGGACGCCGCTGGCGGCCAGTGGGTCGTTGTGGTGGTGGCCTTTCTTCTCGTCAACAAGACAGCAGCTCCTCGGCTCGCTGGGCGTCGATGGACGACGAGCATCATTGAGTTCGAATGATGTCTATTAGTCTATGTGCTGCTGTTGAAGGAGCGCGGGTTCAAGTTCTTGAGTTAGAGAGAAAGCGTCTCGATACTCTCTCTCCGAACTATGTAGCACCGGAGGGATGGATGGGCCAGTCCTGGAACGTTCCACCCCCTGATGATATTGGCGGCGACGTACTGTAGGGAGGAGCTGACCTGAAGCGCTCGTGGACGACGCAGACAGGTCCGAAATCCGAAATAGGAGGGTGGCAAAAGACACGTGGATGACGAGAGGCAGTTCCGCCGCATCTCCTTCGGAGGCACGTGGCTTCATTAGGGGGGGTGCCCTTTCCGTCCACGGAGCCCCCTGGACCATCTGCCACCACTTGCGCCCCGGTGTTCGGCCCTGCTCTGTCTGCTCAATCGGCCATTTGTCTCTCGTTTGACGTGCAGCATGTTGCCAACAGCACAACCAGCGCCGGCAATGGATTCCTCCGTGAATACGGAGGTGAAGGTGGAGCCAACGGGGGTCGTCAAGCAGTTCGAGGTGAGCGAAATAGCGCGTGAAGAACACAGATGGAGATTCTCCACCTTTTCCCCTGTTGCTCGGAAACGAACGCCCTTGCTTGCGTTGTTGGCATCGCTTGATTTTGAATCACGAAGCAGGCGTGCTGATGGCGAACGGCCGCGGAGATGCGGCGTTCCTGTTACTCCAGCCGTATGCCGACTCCTTTCTGTACCGCACGTGCTGCGAAAGGGTGTGGTATGGCTGCGCGTGAAGTGTCCGCACGGAAATACTGCTGTTGAACGGCTCGTAGATCCCGCTCTCTCACCTCTTCTTTATTCTCCCCCCTTTCCCCCACCTACACACACCGAAAGCTGTGCGTGTTTTGAAAGCTTACCGCCATGCCAGCGATCGAGTTCAAACCCATACTAGCGTCTTTCACTTGTTGTTGGTTGAAAAGTACTCGCTACGCAGGATACGGTGGTCAGGTTAAGCCCTCCCGTTTTTTGACACCTCAGCGCATACATTGGCAGTGTACATGGAGCGGACCCTTCCCACAAGATCCCCTCGTAGGCGGACAATCTCGTTTTCCTGTAAGTCAAGCCCGCATGCGCCAGTCCAAAAGCGAACGGCCTGGTCTTTCCCAGTCCCGAGGGATGTCATTCAGCCCCAACATTGACTTTTGGAGGGGTACGGCAGTGTAGTAACAGCAGTTTTGCTTCATGGGCGTTTGGGATGGAGAGCAATCACGCACGTACTTCGAGCCCATGTCTCCCCCCCCCCCCCCGCTACGTAGAGGGCCCATCGTCGAAGACTTGCGGTACATGTGTAGGCCCGGCCCAGGCTCCATACACCCCCTTCAGCGCCCCGACTGGCGCGTGTGCAAGCCCGGGGCATAATACCCTTACCTGCCTTGTCTTTCTTGTTCAGATGTCAAAGATAAATTGAACGCTGAACTGGCTTCGCGCAGCGGCATGACGTGTGCGTCCGGGGGTTGTTCGCGGCTCACAAAAATGTGTTGTCGACATGTTGTTGGAGGCGCTGGCTATGTGACCAGCTGACCGAGTCCTCTTAGGGGTGGATGTACGCGCGTGAACGAGGTCCACTCGTGGTTGGGTTGCGTGCATATCCTCTCTGGCAGCCTTGAGAGAGGTGTGGCGCTTTCTTACAGTCGGTACCTCCGCCGTGAAGCATCTACGGCATTTCCTTCTTTGCTCTCGTTTGAAATTCAAGACTACCGCTCTGTCCGGAGGCATATGGCAGATTTGGAGTTATGGTAGGCCCGAAAACAGCAGCCACGTTCTCTAGGAGTGCCGGGTGCGCCTAGCTGTCTCCGTACGGCATGTTCTTGGCTCGAGTTGACGTTCTCTGCGTGTACAGTCGTCGTTCTTGGATCGAACGAAGAAAATGCACCAAGTGGATCACTCGTGGGCATTCCTCCCTCCCTCCCTCCCTCCCCCCCTTCCCTTCGAAACAACAGACATCACACCGGCCTTTTCACACCAAACAATAACGCCACAAATACCGCTCTCGCCGTTGTAAAAGCCCACACCAGCAGTAACAGCAGTTGCTTGGTCGTGCCTTCCAACCATCGTGCTTCTCCATTCGTTTACCCCCCCCACTCTCCTCTCCTTGCGCGCCCCGCCCTCGGCACTGGTGCTCAGGACCTGATTGAGACGGTCATCAGCACCATTCAAGAGCCGGAAGTCACGGAGGCAGGCGTCGCGGCCGTAATGGCGAGGCTCCAGGCTTACAGCGACGGGATAAACCGGCTCGTCGAGACCCTGCCGCCAGAGGCCGCCAACGGCAACGAGAGGGGCGTAGGTGTAGGGCGGGCAGGGGTTTGATGAATACTGAAATTCGGGGTGAGATTTCACTTGGGGGGGAGAGCCGCATAGTTATTACTAATATTCTATTGTCCTTTTTCTTTTTTTTTTTACGCGGCTCGTTCCTCTTTTTACTTCCTCGCACCCTGTATTGCTACCGCTTCTGGAGTTTCCCCTTGATCTGAGACTGCGTTTTGGTGGTCGGCGACGAGGATCAGTCGTCGCTCTCTCCCTCGTTCTCAACCGCATGTCGGCTGGCTTGCATTGTACGGCATTCCCTTGAGCGCTGGGCTTGATTTTCTTGAGGTAGACTTATCGGCAATTGCTTGTTCCGTGTGCCGGCCGGCCACTATGAAGCGCCCCGGCGATAACTGCAGTCTCTTGTCTGGTACTGGTGCAATCGGCCTCGGGGCCTGTCGGGTGCTTTTTGCCTTCGTGCAATACAATCGATTTCGATTCCCAACGCAAAAGAGGAGGAGGGCGGGAGGTAGGGTTACTCATTTTTATTTCTTGAAGTAGTAGTATTATTGAGCGTGGATTGTTCATGCATTTGTTAGAGACGGAGCGTCGTTCCTTGTAGAGGGGCTGAGGGCGGCGGGGGCTTCGTCGCGGCATATTAGCGCCAAGACGGCGAAGAAGCGTCCGCTCGGTGAAGCTTGCTTGCGGAGCTCCCGGCGGGGTGGCGTTTTGTAGACCTGGCTGGGGACCCCCCCGTCCCCTTCGCCTTCGTCGTGCCTCAGAGAGCGGTATCAATACCATGCTGTATCTCTGCGAGCCAAGTTTTATTACCCAACAATTACAAGCTGTCCGTGACGATATTTAGTGGCTCTGTTGCCGTGAGAAACAGCTGTTGTTTTTCTGGCAACATTGTGGTGAGCCTTAGCCTAGCAGCAAGTTTTTATTGTTTCCTTAGAGGGGACAGGAAGGACGCAAGTAGCAGGGTGCCCCCGGCCTCCTCGGTATTGTTTTGTCCTTCGGCGTGTGCGTGTGTTGTGTGTTTGGTATGTGTTGTGTGTGCCTGTTTTTTCCCCCACGTTTCTCTGGGCCGCCAGAGAGACGCTCCCTCGAATGACACGGAACATCTCTCTCCAGCCGGGAGAAAACCCGGAAATGTTCCGTTTGTCTTGGTCTCGGTACTGTACTGGTGCTGAATAGCCCCAGCAGAGAAAGGTTGGCGGGCGACCCTGTTGCCTCTTCCTTCGACCCTAGAAGGGAATACACTCTATACTCCTTTTATGGATTCCTCTCGCCATATGTGCGTATGGAGATGATTAATACAAGGTGTTAGTCGCGCGTATTGCGCTGGCTGGGGTTGCTTGCTGTACTGGTGTTGCCGCGACCAGGTCATAATATTCGTGGAGCATTCATTGTCCTTGTCGTAAAATGTAGCTGTCAGAGAGAGAGGGAGAGAGAAACAGAAATATCGGTCGTCTTAGTCGAGCTGTCCGCCCGCGTACACTTGGTATGTATGGAGATTTTGGTGGGTTGGGATTTCATGTGGTGGCACCAGGGAGGGGTTAACGAATTATCTCTAGCTCGCACGCTTAACAGTTCAGTCGGTTTTTTTCGGAGTGGGGGGCTTGCGTTGTGGGCGAGAATTAGCGCAACAGGCGGCGGGTAGTGATGGCTGTCTGCCTCGCCTCACAACGACGAGCCCGAACCTGAATCCACACGCTGCCGCGTCTGGTCGTGCCGACTCTGTGTGCGACGACGGGAGACGGCGACGACGGTCGGTGAGCCGGCCCTGCGAGCTGCCCCGCGCGCTTGCCTTATCATGTTTTTGTTGCGGGGCCAACGGCGCGCCTTGCCTCGTTCAGCCCGGTGTGGCGTCGGCGAGGAATTTACACGCCTGTTTCCGCAACACCTTGCACACTCTTTTAGTTGTCTTTCTTGTTTCCTGTTGTATCGTGCTGGAAGGCCCGGGGTTCGTTGTGGAATTCCTACTCTAGCAATAATCCGTCACCAAGGTTCTTAGTTGTCGTTGTCTTCACATTTAACTGTTCCGGTCGCTAGGTTCCGTACTTATTAACGTCAGTAGTCCAACGGACGGGGACGTCTTCCATAGCCTCTGGCGCGTCTTGGATATCAAGTTAAAACTAAGATATTGTAATGATGTTTTCTAATTGTAACAACTTCGCGCAAAAACGTTTCGGGCATCATCAAATGATTCTGGGTGGTCTGTCGTTGAAACGTCCTAGCTTGGTGGCCACATATCGGGGCCGTGCGATGCATGTTGTTGGCCGCATGTAATGTTCACGTATACCCAGCGACGAGGTTTTAAGCGATTTTATTGGGAGAGCGGGGCGGGGTGTTTGAGACGCACAACAACAGTGAACGGAGAAAGAAGAAGACAACCACTTGTTAACTAAAAGTACATAGTCTACATAGTTATGTTTCGCAGTAGGTGCATGTATGACACGTAAACACTGGCTGTGTTCCGTTCGCTTGTGGCCCGAAAATTGCAACCGTGAAAGCCATACGTCTCCGTAGGGGACCCGAACATTGTAGCCTAGATTGGATTTTCGGGTGCCTAAATTTATACATTGTCCTCAACAACGGTAGACTATATTGTAGATGGTATTGTTTTTCTGTTTTTTACTGTTGTAGTGTTCGAAGCTGGCCAGCACGCCTCTCTCTTTCACTCTCACTCTCATCTATAGTATGCCATCCAAACCGCGAGGAGCCCTGATGGGGTCAGCCAGCAGCAACGGCATACGAAGTATGTTCTAACCATCGCTTCGAGGGTCGCCTTTGAGTTGCGTAGCAGGACTGTCCCACTTCTCGCATTAGCAGGCTGTCCTGGTTCTCAGCAAGCACCTACGGTAATGGCTTCAGAGCAGCATAGACAGACGGGTGGCCTATCACGCTGCAAGCTTTTCACCTGGCTAGACAGTTTGTTTGGTGGGTGGCCCATCATCTTTTTCGCTTTTTTCATTTTGTTTTATCGTTTTTCAAGGAGTATGGTAATCATGAGCTCAATTTGTGGTAGACCGTCCGCCCTTCGTCCAACCGGTTCCCGAGCCTGCCAACGGCGGTGACTGTCCCTCTCTGACTTTGCTCCATCACCTACAACAGCTCAGTAGTACCCATCACTGCTCCACATGCACATCTCCACATGCATGCACGCATACAACATGCTACTACGGATATACAGCCATCAAACTCGTGATGCAGTGGCTGTCCCGCGCGCAGTGATTGTTCCGCTATAATTACTACTGTATGTGTACTGCATTCACACGGTGCGGGCAGGACTGGCTAAACGCTAACCACATCCCACAACTGGCTCTCAGAATACTCAACTTGCTGTTGATGGACTCTTTAGTTCTAGGTCGACGAGCACCGCGCGGGGTCTAGAGCCACGACGTGCAGTGACTTTCTGTGTACACAGAAAGCCACTGACGACACTCATGACATCCACACGCAGAGTGATTGGTTGTGCCCGAGCGGTGGTTGTAAGTACACCTAATGTTATTCCACCGCCTGCGAGTAAGCCTCTCTTTCCAGTTTCTTCTTCAAGTCGCGTGCGCATGCATACAATTCAACTGATGGTTGGTTGGCGGGCTGATGTCCGAGTATCTTTAGGTTTACTCTTTTGTCAACTCTTTAGTTCTACGCTGTTGATGTTCACCGCGCGTCGGTCTACACACACACTCATTCATGGTGTTGTTGCTCCACAGGCACGTTGCCACCACCCCCTGTATACACTACAGCCTATGCGTGGCTTCAATTTGCCGACTAAATCATGTTGTTGAGCAGGTGAGAAAGATCCCGTACCGAAAAACGCCGCAACGCCACCTGATTTCACCGCGGATCCTTACCGTACCCTAGGAAGATCCAGCCATTGTGCACGTGATCCAGAAGAGAGGAGCCAACCAACGGCCATCATTCGTTGTGCTTGAGCTACGCCTACAGCCTCCCTTGTTATTCGGAGCAGCCCGTGAAAAAGAGACCTCTCCGATAGAACCTGGAGCCTACTGGCTACTACACGGCTGTAGCGACGTGCGTGCTGCTTTTGCTCCTCGCCACTGACCACGTGCGACTGACACAGGGCATTCCGCAACGAACGAGCGATAACATTTCAGGTGTGTACCGATGAGTTTTATGACACGCGGCCCCAAGCATGAAAAAGTGCGCACCCGGCACGCGCACACGCAAAACTCTCATCTACACCTACCTGCCAATGCTTGCCTGCTAACAACACTCAGCATTGTGTCTGTGTAGCAACAATGACACCATAGCCGCGCGCCGTCAACCAGGGGATTAGCACGAAAACAGGGAGTGAGTATACAATAGCATTGCCCCGCATCCAAGAAACAGCTGCACACACACACACTTTTTTTGTGGTCATTTGTTCACCACACACACACACACGATATATACTGTACATACCCGAACACCCAACCCTTTCGACATGTTCCTGCTGCCCCCCCCTCCCAATACACAAGCATCATGTACACAGTCAGATGGCCACAGGGGAGATGTCACTGGTTTTGTGGGTGCTTTTTTTTTGTACATATAGTCCCCACCTAAAAAAGCGGAACAATTTTGTTCTCAAAAACTGTGTTGTTGCGGATCGATCGGCAGACAGAGTGTGTCTACAACAATAACAGCAGCAGACTAGTTGTGCAATTGCAAGAATCCTCCTTAGGTACATTGGTACATACACCTACCCATTTTGCTATTTCATTTTGGCATCACGAGGAGAGGGGAGAGGGAGACACGAGATGATGCACATACACACGCACAGCGCGCGCCGCACCAGGCACGCAATAAGCCCACTGCCAAAAGGATATAACCAGTATGCTCGAAAAGGGTTTGCTGCACTATCCGCACGGTTGCGTATCATGCCGTTGGTTGCCGACTGGAGATGGGCCGGGCGATTACATATATATTCGGTGAGTAAAATAGGCAGCCAAACCCTTCCGTAATGTTTTGTCTGCCATCGCAAATTAATTGTAAACGCTGTGCTGCTTGGACGCACAGACAGACAAGCGTGAGCAACGCCATCTATAGCCTCGGAAAAACAAAGCACTACGCTATACTGCTCCTTTAATGGTGGAGTGAGCGGGCTCGTCCTCCGTGGTCAAGCAAGGGAGATCGAGACAACAGCGACGTGTGCGCTTTCTGGTAAGTATTATTTGAGAGGCATTTTTTTCGCGCACCGCTTGCCAACGCTCGCCAATTACCAACAACTCAACATTGCTGCCGCCACCACTGATGATTGGTCAGAACCACAAGAAGAGCACGAGAAGTCGTTGTCTCCTTCGTGGTGCGTGCACGCTGGCACAGTTGCTGTGCATTATGTCTTTTGTGTATCCCCCGCGTCTGCGATGATGACTGCGATAAAGGCTGCAACAAAGAGCCAGTAAGAGATTCAATTTTCGTTGCACTGCTGTCGTCCTTGAAGAATATAGGCAGCGCACATTTTGTTTTTCTCCTTTTTCGTTTTTCTTCACAAACCTCGCTCACGCACATTCCTCCCCTTCAGCATCAGTTGCACTCGATCGCCGGGAAAGAAACACGTGCCCAGCACACGCCGCGTGCAGTCATTTCGGCGCGAGGTTACCTCCGTGCCCCATGCGTTGGGTTCGTTCGTGCGCTCGCGTGCTGCTCATGGTTGTAAATAGCGGAAAGTTTCCGAGAGAGAGTCGAACATTCAACCCGCAACAAACACGTCCTCTCCACCACCATCAGCAGCAGCAACCGTTGCCGTCCCCGACGACATCAAGAATAAGGATAGTTGGGCACTAGGCCACTGGGGTGACCGGCTTGAAACGCAAAAGAGGGTAGTCTAGAGGTTGGAGCGTGCAAGAGGCAGGCATCCAAGACTGCTGTAAACAGATTTATTTGTATGGAAAGAAAAATCTATTTTGGTTCGTTGGGGTTCGTTGGGCTGTTCGAGTCGAAACCACTTGAAACCACGTCTGTTTTTTGCAGTAGTTTTTGCAGTCTGTTAGTGACTCTTCCTATCTAACGGCTTTTACGCCCTCTGATTGGTCCGGCGTTGGTTCCTAGCCTTGACCCTCTCCAGCGCCCTCTCGCCGTTCCGCATTCCGAGAACGCGGCGCAGCCGCGTTCTCGACCAGTTCGCGGCCGCTAGGCCGTGCTTTGGCCGTGGGTGAGGGTTAGGGTTAGGGTTAGGGTTAGGGTAGATGTGGGGTGAGGAACCTAGCCTTGCTCGCGTGAGGAACCTAGCCTTGCAAAGTGCAACATCGGTTAGTCCTAAAGAGTCACTAACAGAGTGTAAATAGACCTCGTTTTTTGTTGATGAGCTTTTCGAGCTTGGCAGACGTCAATGATGGCAGCTGGCAGTTGATTCAAACCAACACATCCTTTGCTTTCATCTTGCATCACGCCTTGATAACACTACTGCTATGCTCTGATGAGCCCACTCTGAAGGCGCGCCTTGTATTAAGGAATAATAAAAACACACACAGAAAGACTACCCATTCGAGATATACCCACAGCAGTCGAACGGGATGTGGTGGAGTCTGCGTGTGTACTGCTGGTCTGTACAATGTTTAGAACCAGTTCTCAAGAGACGAACCGCTGCAGAACCACGGCACCAACACGGAGCTTCGCGGAGCACGGAACACAGCAGTACACAGAACACAGCACACAGAACACAGAACACACAGCAGCAACTGCTGATGTTCGCACCCTGGTGACCATCACTCCGACCGATGCCATCTCTCCGACTAGTGCTATCTCTCCGACCCCGGAAAAATGCAACTTAATCACTTCGGTCTAGCTTTTTCAAGGCACCCTGGTGCGATTCTGCCATGGTGGGTCCGACGTCCCAAATAATTTCATGCAGCGAGCACGCACCCCCGGCGCTTCAACCTTCAACTCCCATAGGTGCGACACTGAATACCACCACCGTTCTTGGAGGAGTGTTGCTCCGATACCCCGGTGATACCCTCGCCACATGTAACTCGCTCGACGGGTGGTTCACCTGCGGCATAGAGAACGGCGTGAAGGTGAAGTGGCCCGGGCCCACGTACTGAGGTTTTCGGTTTCTCCGACCCGGTGCGCAAGTCCAGAATAAATCATGCCGTTCTTTGTGGCACTCTTTTTGCAGACCCCGGTGCTATCTCTCCGATCCGCGCCATTCTTCACAAAGACAGCTGTTATGTCAACCATTTTTCTCCACTGTGGTACACGTAAGCACCCCTCAGACAAAAGGTTGATGCGGGGAAAATCCGGGGCGCAAGCGAACAACGGGATGATCCCTGTGATTGTTGTATCATAGGCGGTCTGTTCCCGTCCTCCCGTTCTCCACGTGCGTCCACCAGCCTTTGTTTGAATCCTGTTTCCTTCCCGCCCTCTTCTTCCACCCTTGCACCTCGGAACCTTTGGCGCAAACACAGCTCTTCTTGTGATTACCACCGCTGAAGGACGCCGCTGAAACACCTACAGCACAGTATCACATGGTGAGCTTTCGGCACAAGGCAGGACTGCTCCCGATCGCGAGCAGTTCTTCTAGTGAGTGGACATTGACTATTTCACTAGTAGTTGCTCCAGGCGATGCGACTGAAGATAGTTACCATCGCCTTGGACAAGGGGCACGCTGCGCGTGCCACGCACGATCGTTTGTCGACAGCTTCAAGACGTAATCTATACATAGCGCGACATATGCATCTGAATTTCACTTATTCCGACCAAGCAGTCACTGTGGATCGGGAGAAGCTCCCCGTTCACCTCTGGGGGGCGTGTAGGGAGGTCTCGTCTGTGATGAGGCTCACGAAGCCTGTTTCTCTTCAACGTATCGATCCAACCTGCCGAAACAATCACAGGGAGGGATGCTGTATGTATGAGGTGGTCGAGGGTGGTGTACCTATCGAGAGGCGTTAACGACAGCAGTACTGCGGCTGTAACACCTTCCAAATATTTTAGATGGCACTGAATGCCTCGTTGGGTAGTACCAAGCAATCAAAGGCCTTTTTTTCTGTCATTTTCCGGGTTTTCTGCTCCCTAGATTATCATTTTTCAAGGCTAATATATGATGAATGTTTTTCTTATTATCTTCACTAACAACCGTTCCAATCTCTCAGTCTCCTAACATTCGTACCGGCACAACTGACGCGGATGCCTTCCGTGGTCACAGACAACATACTGAACACACGTGGAGTATCATTAGCTCGCCACATATTGAAAATATCGCAATGTCACACGGCTACTTCGACAGTCATGTCATGCTCTCGCCCCACGCGAATGTTTGAGTGAACATCCTACCGGGGTGGGAAAAAAGAAAACATGCTGGAAGTAGGATCCCATCAATTCTACCCGGAATAGGGCTAGCATACGTCACGAACATCGCATGCTGTTGTTGATGGTCTTCTGGCAGTCGTTGGTCGAATCTTAGTCTTCCCAGCTCCAGTAGAGATGAAGATTTGTCTGGCGAATCTTTGTGTCACTCCGAGAGAGGCGTCCGCGAGCACTACCCAGACTATTCCGGGTCACTTAGTTCAATACGTAACTTGTTCCGACGCCATTCGTCGAACGTCTTTGGAAAGGACCCCATTCTTCTAGCTTAGAGAATACCAGCAATTTTCCTGATTTCCACGTTCACCCGCGTTGGTGTACTTCGTCAGAGCATGGCCTCTTCAGCTGTAGCTGGTGAAGATGTGGAGGTCGGCAGCAGCCGCGTCTGCCCGGCGGAGCCCTTGAGCAAACCCTGGAAATCTCCCGGCGACCAGAAGGTGGGAAAATGTTCCGCACCATCTGAACCGTTGCTGATAACCCTCGTGGGTAGCGATAGGGGATCAAGTGGATCGGATCGGAGCAAATGGAGAGGCTGCAACCCCATCTGAAGTTTGGGTATTTCTGCGAACATATTTACACCCCGGCGCCGTTTGGAGCAGGACTTGCTCGTCTCAGGTATAGCTGCTTGTGTTTTCCAACATGGTTTTTCTACCAGTGAACCAGCTTGACGACCTCCGCGACTGTCCAACCCACGCCTGCCTCCAAACAACGGAACATTTCCTTCAGGTGGACTTCCGCTTTCGCGACGTGCGTTTCAGCGTAGAGGTTTCGAAGATGAAGGCGTCTCTGATGGGGGGGGAGGCTGGCGTCAAACACATCCTCGGGGGAGTCAGTGGAGCCGTGGAGTCAGGGCAGATCTTGGCCATTATCGGCTCTAGCGGAGCGGGCAAGACGTCTCTGCTCGACGTGCTCGTCGGAAAGGTACGTAGATGTGTCATGACGGCGTGCGAGGTCGAGAGGGTTTTGTGCTCGTAGAGTGGATCAGGCTCGTGACCACGTGCGCGTAAGAAGAAGGCGTGCTCATACTGCGGGTCTTGCTCACATTTAGTTCGTGTCAATTGCATTTCTCTTCTTGGTTGGAATCGTCAAGTTCTTTCTCTCCCCCCACGCCCCATCTTTTTGGTACGGCGAATGTTTCGCGGCGCAACCGGGAGCTCAAGCGCTCGCTGGTGTCTCCCCTACACCGTCAAGCCTCGATCATGTCTCGGCTTTTCCCCATTGACCTCCCCCCCTTTGTGCTTTGCCCACCCCGTCCCGTCCAACGAAACGATTCCCGTCGGGGGGTGGGGGGGGGGCTTGTGTTGAGGACAGGTCTCGGCTGGCACGAAGGGCCTGGACATCACGGGCGACGTAACCGTCAACGGCAAGGCGATGTCCAAGTCCTTCTTCTTGGAGAACGCCGCTTACGTCCCTCAGGAAGACCGCCTGTGGAGTGCTCTCACAGGTGAAAATCGCCGTCACCCAAACTAAAGTTCGGCAATCTCTTGCCTCCGACGGCTGTCAACAAGATGCAGCACTCAGAGTACCTCTCTCCGGTTATACTGTGATTGTAGCCGTAGCAGCTTTCAAACCGCCTACAACGTGTACATGATATGCATGTCTTCCTATAGTTCTTCGAGTTTTGCGCTTGAGGAGAAAAACGGCCTGGGAAGTGTCCTCATACGCGACGCGGTAAAATCGAACTGTCTCGAAACCCAACCAGTTGCTCCGCCTGGACAAGGGGTGATTCGCGATAAGTTAACCCGACAAACGGGCTGAGCAGGAGCAGGCGTACAGAGGAACCCCGCAAACAATCCCTTACGACCGGGTGTTCTTCGCCTCCCCCCCGCCCCCACAACGCCTGCTCGCATCCCGCATCCTCCCGGTTCCATCTCGAAAGAGATGTACGTGGTCAACGATCACATGAGCACATACGGCAAGCCAGAATTGAGTACCTCCCCCACCTACCCACCCACCCAATTGTTGAACAGCTAAGGCACGCAAAACATGAGTATTCCCCCCCCCTGCCCGTGCCTGCCGCCCCCCCCCGTACCCAAGTTCGGGAAAACCTGACGTTTGCGTGCAAGATGTACAGCCCGGCATTGTCGCGAGCAGACAGCGACAAACGCGTGAACAAGGTGCTCGCCAGCTTGGGCCTCGAGGGATGCCAGCACACGAAGGTAAAATCGCCGCCCTATGTACGCGGGTCAAACCACCTGCCCCGACACGGGCTCACACGTTTTTTTTTAAGTTGTTGTTGTTGTCTTCTTGTCCCATCTGTTCCAGGTCACCAGTCTACAATCGTTTGGGTACATCCTGATGCACAAACCGGCGCTGTCTTCCCAAAACGATACTTGTAGGATGGTGGCTTCGAATGGATTGTTTCGGCTGGGTAGACAACCGTCTGCCTCGTTAGATAATGAATCACAACGAACTACCGTTAACGCTCATTGAGGTTTGGGGTAGAAACCTTATGCCCCCCGCCCTGCCGACGTCGAGACCTCTCTTCCTCCTCTTCCCGACCTACACCGGTGCTATACACAGCAGTGCTCAATCGATTAAATGATCTGTTTTGTCCTGGGGTTTTCGCGCATTTCGTACCCAACAGCTGGAAACATACCCGAGAGAACGATGTATAGAGGGCAGCAATCACACGGCATGGAGATGTGGTAGTATAGGCCATGTACGTGCGGTTCTGGCAACACATACGTACTGACCGCACCCTCTTTCCTTCCATCCCCTGTGGGTTGTTTCGGGACCCGTCGCTCAACAATTATGTCACAAACAAGGTCGGCAACGTTTTCCTGAAGGGTATCTCGGGCGGTCAGAAGCGGCGCACTTCAATCGGTGTCGAGCTCGTGGTCCAGCGCAAGATACTCTTCCTCGGTGAGCTACGTTGCAACCTGTCTGTTCATTTCGACGGTTACATCAGACGCTGAGACGCGTGCAGGCTGCGGAGCTGCTGCATCTCGACGCATTAATCCTAAAGATGGAGGCACGCGTCATAGAGGTTGGACCCCCCCTTTTCTGCATCGTCGTACTTCTGTAAAAAATATATAAGCAAAAAAAAAACTGGCCACCTAGCAAGTGGTGGCATATCTCATGCTTTTTGTTCCACCGGTTACGTCTGTCACTTCGTCACTTCCCAAAGACCCATGTCCCCCTCCCTTACTCAGACGAACCAACGTCTGGGCTGGACGCCGCTTCCGCCTCCGAGATCATGTCGTTGCTGAGGCGACTGGCGTCGGAGACGGACGTGATAATCATCGCGAGCGTGCACCAACCGTCCAGCCGCGTGTTCAACAGTTTCGACCAGGTGATGAAAACAAAAAAAAAAACACCTTCAAGGGACCTGGGAATACCGCAAAGAGGTTGAGAAGCAACCTCTCGTTTGTGTTTCGGGGCTGGAAATAGAGGGAAAGTGCTTCACGAAGTTGAGATTGTTGTGTGTGGGTTTGTCTCACAACCAGCATGCACAGCCTGCGTGTTTAGGCGTACAGCAATCCACTATCCTAAGCTAGCGCTGACTCGTATTTACAAAAGAACAAATCTTAACACTGGGGTAGTCCGGTTCAGCCACTGGACACCGACGTTGCCGGCACGGTGCTCCGCCAGGATGCGTTGGTGGAATCCGAATACCAAAGAGAGCGTCGCCAAGCGGACGAAATGACTCCTCGGCATTGCGGGACTCTCCCGTGTTTTCCTCTGTCTTTGGCACCGTCCACGACCACGCCGATACCTCGCTTCTCACAACATTACACGGTAAGTGCGGTTGTTCTATTGTTTCCACTCACGAAGAAAAATATCTCTTGGTGCCGAACGCACTTTGCAAACCCACGCTTGGTCATTCTGAGCCAGGTGATTCTGTTGACGATGGGGCAGACGGCCTACTTCGGGCCTGCGTCGGACAGCCTCGACCACTTCGCGCGCTTGGGCCACGAACCGAAGGGTCTCGTCAACCCTGCCGACTACCTCCTGGAGGTAGATTCTCCTCAGCAGTGTGTAGATTGTGACCCTCCCGCGTTGTATGGTCTGTTGCGGCAACAACAAACGCATGTGCTGCTGAATTTCTGTGACGGATTACTCGCCAACGTATCCGGGACGCTTGTTGTCAAGACCGGCTTGCGTATTGTCAGAGAAACTAGGATCCTCTTTCAATATTTTCTGAGCTTACTATTGAATTGACAGTTGGTCGCTTTTCATCCTCGAGCAGGGTGCTCATGCAGTCATCCGAGCCACGAGACTGCAGTTGCAAAGCCGCCCTTTTTCTTCCTCGATGCCTTTGTAGATAGAGTTAGCTTCGTACACACGGCGATATGTCCTTTCGCGCACCCCGACCGAAAAATCGTTCCAACCACTATATACCAACACATCCACCCTCCCATCTCTCGGCCAACTAGATCACCAACGCCGACTTCAGTGACACCGAGGCCGTGCAGGAGCTGGCCGATTCGTGGAAGGAGACGCCGGGGTGCCGAGCGCTAAACGCCCGCCTTGAAGCACCCCTCCCCCCACCGTTGGAAGAGGGATCAAAGGCCGGCTATCTCGCCGCTCTCCTGCAGCTCCGCACGCTGATCGTCAGGGCCTCGATGAACAGCGTGAGGGACCCCGCCGCCTACGCTTTGAGGTGAGGTATGGCTCGCGATAATCTGCTTCGTGAGGCTGCGTCGTGAGAGTGATGACATCGTTAATGCTTATTGCCAGGGTTCTCTTGCTGTGATAACACGGAGAGGGACTTGACCAGTGTTCCTCCCATATCATTAATCGAGTGGGTTGCGTCTAGAAGTGTCTCAGGAGGGGTGAATCGAGTCACCGCCCACACAGGCAGTAGTTCTACTCATTTTGAAATGACAGCTTAGGATTCGGGATGATACGAAGCGTTGTCGTCAGCGCCAACAAAGGGCTGTTGGAGTTTCACATAACACTGCGAGATTTGTTTGCTGGAGTTTCACATAACGACGCACAGCGCACAACAAGGCTCGCTACTTTTCTCACACCGTTGAAGCCGTGCTGTGGACTCGCTCCGGGTGGTTGTTTGGATAGCAAACGGCCATCGGCTTAGCAAAAACTCATCGTATGCGGCCAGCGGCTCCTCCTGTCACCCTTCCGCGTCGGTGTGAACCAGTCGGAACCGATAGTGTACTATGTACATCCCGTTCGAATGTGGGTATATCTCGAACGGGTACTTTTTGTGTGTGTGTATTTATTTTTCCTAATATTTATCACCGTTTTTTTTCCATCTTCTCGGCACGGCATGCGTGAGGATTTACGGAGGGGCGGCGCTCGAAACCTTCTTTGGACAACAATGTCACCCAATTATCCTCTCGGGAGAGTGCTTCGAGACCGCACTCGGACTACTGTTGCAAAATGATCCTCCGACGAGGGACGTCTAGGCTACTTCGTGGTGATCGCTGGCCGGCGCGCATTGTCGCTCCGATTTGCCGACTTGCGGGCGGTTGTGCTGACGGAATAGTCGCGCGGAAAGATCTGGCAAAATATTTCGATCAGTTGATTCTTCCTCGAGAGCACTCACCCTGCCACCCGTCTCTCGCGCCACCCTAACCCCCCCCCCTCTTGCTGCTCCCATGTCCTTTTCTCTTGGCGCTATGCGCTCCGACCCTCCTCTTCGGCAAGGCTGGTGCTGTACCTGTTCATGTCCTTCTTCCTCGGCCTAGTGTGAGTGCCATGCCCGTGGAAGGCACCAGTGTGATTGCACAAGCCTTCTAGGTGGTCGGCATGGCTGGTTTAGACCGACTTTACGCTACGCTAGCGCTCGATACGATGGTTGGATGCGACGGATAGTGTCGCAGCCGTGTCATCTCCTCGGTAAGGCTGAGATACCCACATGTGTGTGATCGGAGGGCGTTCCTTGTGTAATCGACATCCTCTAGGTTATGCTTCGGCGCCTGAAGACCAATCCAAGCACCTATTAGTCTGCTGGCTTGAAGTTTATTTTTTTATCAACGCGGTCCGAGCAGGTACTACCAGGTCGAAAACACACAGGAGGACATCCTCAACCGGGTGTTTCTAATCCTCTGGATCAACGCCTTCAACTCGTGTGAGTCTTGGCCCTTGGTTGCTCGAAGTCGAAAAATCGTCTTGAAAATCGTCATACTATTCTTTTGCTGTTTCCAAGTGCGTGTGAATCTATGTGTGCTTCAGCGTGGATTTTTGCCCGCGGACTCAATAAAACGTAGAATATTATCCAATGCACTTGCCAAGTCTTATACTGCACCGATCCGAATGTTGGCACCAGCCTCGCATCTCGCTCGTTTTCGTCTAAACCAGCACTGCCCCGGTTTCGTACGGCAACGTGAGTTGATCGGTTGCAGTCCTAGCTCTACCCATCTTTCGTTTTTGACAACTTTGTGGCTGTGTTGTGTTATCGTCGTGCAAGTGTTCCGATGGCGAGAGGTTCGTTGTGGCATTCGCCACCGCTCTGGTACAAGTCTCGCGTTTTGGAATGTACGAGGCTCCAAAGAAAAGCGCGACAAAGTCTCCCGCAAAGCATGTGCGAGGCTCCAAAGAAAAGTGGGACAGAGTCTGTACGAGCCTCCAAAGAAGAGGTGTGCATGTGGTTACGTCACAAGTTGGATGTTACGCACAGGGGCACTCTGATGTTGGCCACGTAGGTCTGTCGTATAGCCAAAAGTCGACAGTTTGGGGATAGTACAAGCGTCTCGTGCCCCACGCGGTGGTGCTCGAGGTTTCTGTGATCGTCTGCCTTGGTCTCGATGCTCTCGACACATCAACAGCGAGCACCCGAGTCTCTTCTGCCCCGCGTCGAAGAAAACAAACCGCGTTTGTTTGTGTTTCGTCCCCCTCGAAGCAACAACAAGAAAAACACGCTTCCTTTCTTCTTTTCTCGGTTTATCAGACATGGACATGGCGGCTATCCCTGTTTTCGAGCTGGAGAAGGAAGCCGTCGTGAAAGAAGTGCAGGCAAGACCTCATTTCTGGTTTGTTTTCTCAGGACTCGGGGGCAGGCTTCGTGATTGTGTGATCCTGAGCGAATACGCGGCGGAAGCGTCAAGTGATGATTGATCCAACTCCCGTGTTGCGTGTGTGGTACGAGCACTCGTCAACAGTTTTTTCTGGGGCAATCAGCCTGCGGGGTACGTAAGTGGATATGTAGGTACATTTCCAGGAATACCATTTCATTGGTGCTCCCAGAGACAAGTGCTCCCCGACCTGGGGCAGGGGCGGGACCGCCTTTGCGAGAAATAAAGTTTTGTGAGGAAATAGAACATGGGGGGGGTACACAGACCCTACTGTAACCCTAACCCTAACGCTAACCCTAATCCAGCCCCCCAAATTGCATACTTTTATCCAAAAATTTTACTTACACGAAAAACTCTGCGAAGGCTACTGCAGCGGCGGCGGGCGGGGGGGGGGGGGGAGAGAGGCAGGTCGAAACAGCTCCGGTAGAGGTAGCCTGTGAAACCGCACACCAATACCGGATATTTTTTCGAATGCATCACATCAACTCGCCTTCGCGCGGCTGTAACATGTTTTTTCCAAAGTATTTTCTCGTTCACCACCACCCCCCCCCTCCCTGGTCTAACGACTACGGCATGCACGACTATGAGTACACACACACACCCCTCCCTTGGTCAATGGCTCCGTCCTCTCGAGGACGCGTGGTCAATGGTCTAATCGCAACGGCATGCAAAATATAAGAGTACGCCCCCCCCCCTCCCTTGTCACGTTGCCCCCAACAGAACGGACAGTACGGGGTGGCAGGCTTCTGCATCGCCAACGCAGTCGTTCAGGTACCCTTCGTGCTGCTGATCGCGTTGTGCTGCATCACGCCGGTGTACTGGATCACTGACATGAACGACGACCCTTTGAGGTATGGTGCGAAGGCTATGATGATGATGTCATCGAGGTGCACGAGACGGGTCGTCCCATGCGAGCTGGCTCAAAAGAACTAAAATAGTATTTGTTTTTATCCTTTTTGTTTCAGCAGTTCGTAAAACAGTCACAGAACTCTTCGGGGGGGGGAGGGGGCGGAGAGCTTGTTCGCGAGGTCTTCATGACGCACCTCATCGGTCGAGATATTATGAGAACGGCACATTTACCTCGAGGTTCCTCCGAAAATGCTTACTCGGAGCTCAGCGGAGCGTGTGTGCGGCGGAGGAGACAAATAGTGTGTGTGCCCTCCGATCCGAATCAGGAAGAACTAGTATTTGTAACTAGTCTAGGTTCTTCGCTCATACCCCTCTCTTTGCTCCTGCTCCTGCTTTCTCGCCGACATTTTCCGTTTGTCAGGTACCTCCAGTTCATCCTTCTGATGTTCCTCATGCTGTTCGTCATCGAAAGCCTGGCCCAGCTTGTTGGGGTCATTGTCAAGGTGATACCCTGTTACCCTGTTTTATCTCTCAATTACTTAGTATTGAGCCAAATAGGCAAAAAACGACAACCAGTGAGAAGAACACACGCTCTCGATGGCTGAGTGTGCAAGCCTCGGTAGGGACAGGTATTCGGCATGTATGGGGCAGCAGGTGGCTGTCTTGTGTAGCGGACACAAAGGCGCCGGTGCACATGCTGTGTTGCGAGGAACTACCCATCCATAATGCGGGGACCCACTCATCAGTAGCTTTCGTTCATCGTTCGATCATTGAGAACGCGTAGGGGTCTGTTTCGTACGCACACCTGCCAGACAAAAGCCCGCCCGTTACGCATACTCTGATGTGTAGACAAACTCGACTATGGGGGGCCTTCTTTATGTGCATGGCCGCCTCGCGCGTGCGTTCGGTTCCTTGTCCTGTTGGGGGACCATGTAGGTATATCGTAGAACAACAGCGATCGTCTGTACATGAACTCACGTCCGTAGCACATCCCTTCATTCTCTCGCCTTCCTTTACCTGGCAGGCCATCCATTTTCCCATGTATTATCTCTGGTTCGCTTTCTCGTATATATCCCCTCCGTGACGACATTGGATATCTCTGTTGCCTGGGTGAAGCCTACCAACAATTGGCAACAGTAGTGAGGATGTGGAAACTCAGGGCACACCTCGTTTTGTCTGGAGTACCCAGTGCATACACATCGTGCGATAGAGGGGAAGTGAAAACGTACCGCGGACCGACGGAACGCTGATTTGCACAAGGTCTCTTTCCCACATGGCACACCAGAACTTCGTCCTCGGGATCGCCGTCTTCGCCAGCTGTCTCTCGATGTTCTTCATCTTCAACGGGTGAGCGGGGAACATACATTGCTTGTGATATAGCTGGCCGATTAGTTCCTTTGGAACACTTTTCGTATTTTCTTGGGAGAGCCGAACCGAAAGAGCGTTCACCGTACCCGCTGCTTCTGCTGTCGCTGCTGCTTTGTCCGTGGCGCCTCCTCCTCCTCCTCCTCCTTCCCCTATGACAAAATGACTTGCCTACATCGAAGATTCATTGTCGAAAGGGCGGAACTCGCCAGAGGTTCCGGCACATGACTCCGCGACCTATTGTGTGGCATCTTGGTCTTGACAAGAGGGCCCTCTTTTGTTGGTAGAACCCGATCAGTCACCGTTGCCACAGGGGTTGGGAACACAGAGCGGTTGATGTCTGTGTCTTTCTAAAGCACGTTTTCCATATTTAGTGCAAGACCTCCGCCTGTCGGCACGTGGTTCTCCAGTGATGTACCATCCAGGAACCACCACCTTGGCCTCAGCTCTGTTGATTTCCATGGAGCAGTTCACACCCTGTACAAACGATGGCAGCCAGTTACAATCGTGCGGCCCGACTGAAACACTTCGCATTGCTTTGCACTTGCCTACATCCACGCTCACTCCCAAACGTTTGTCGCTTTCACGAACACTTGCCCTCCGCTGCGCAAAACCGATCTTATCGGTGGCCACCAGGTTCTTCATCGACCCCATCAACATGCCCGACTTTTGGCTGTGGCTCTACTGGATATCTCCTCTCAGGTGCAAGCAAACACATCTATCTGCAGGCGTTTCGACCTGCGGGGAGGGACAGGCGTTCCTTCCCACGTTAACGATGGTCAACATCATCTCGAACCTTCGCTCCGCCGCCCTCCTTCTCAACGCCGTACTAAACACATGCGAAAGTAACCACAGCGGTCCCCGGTCCAGCGACCCCTATTTAGTGTGTCAGGAGGGAATATGGTCGGTATTCAGGGCAGGTTCGCTGTTGCTAGCATAGCGACTATTCGCCGGGGTGCGTAGTGCCATGTGATTTTGTGGTCGCGAAACAAGGCATGTCGCTAAACCGGGCCCGCCACTGCACGTATAGCTCCTTAACTCTCCTCGATGCTCTACAAGGGGACATACACCCGTGAGCGTTCCTTCCTCCCCTGGTGCGCACGCTGCGTCGCAGGTACTCGTGGGAGGCGATGGCGCAGATCGTCTTCGAAGGCCAGACCTACGCAGGCATGGACACGTGTGTCACCTGCTACGGCACGACCGGAGCAGAGGCAAGCACGACACTTGTAATTATACGCGTACGGTTTTACGACCTCCTCTAAGCCCCGTATCTGGCATGCTCCCTCGATCCTAGCACCGAAAATAATTGTCAACACACACCCCTCGAGGATTGTCTCGAACGGGTGCTACGTCGTATACGATTGTGCTTTTTATTTTTATTTCTTTTGGTTGTCGTGGTTTCATGACCGCTTCACGACCCCCCCCCCCCCCCCCCCCCCGCTGCCGCTTCCATGCTAACCAACCGTGAACGCGCTTGGCTTGGCAGGTGCTGGACTCGCTCAGCAACGGCGGGACCAATCTTAACGACGTAAGTATCGCGGCGTGGTGCGGCGCTCTGGTGGGGTTGTCCGTGGTCTGGAGGCTCATCCACTACGTCGCCCTCAAGCGCTCCATTTTCTGAAGCCTGTGGAACGCGTTTGTTTCAGTGCGAAACACCATGCTGTCTTCGAGCTGCCGCTCGTGCGAGAAGGCTTCATGTGCAGACTTCCCACACTACACGATTTCGCGGATTTGTTTATATAGTTTCACATTGTGGGGAAATTCGGGTGTCGTTTGATGCTCGGCGTTATGCCATGGACTGTTCATCTTACAGATTCAGAGGCAGTCGGTGGTGGTGGATGAGCCTGACAGACAAAAATCATCGCCACCCCCGCTCCTTCCCCAAGGGGACGCATTTATGTCCTGCTCATGATGTCAGAGGGTCAAACGACAGATGCCTTGAGGCTTTCCACCACACGAAGAGCTGAGTGATCAATTTTCTCGGGACGATTCAAGCACCGTACACACACATAAAAACGAACTGCTTAATGTTGTGTGTTGTTCGTTTGCCGAAATTGGGAGTTGGGAATGTGGGCATGGAAGACGGGAACCGACCAAGGGCAGGTGTCGGAAAGTCACCAGCTCCCAGAAATCATTTGTCGTCTTGTTCGTACACGTGGCACGTTAATTAATTAGTTGCGAGAGAGGTGTTGAAGACGTAGTTATCCTCGGGCTGTTTTCCCTTCGGGTTGTGCAATCAGGTGTTGTCATCGCGGTCGTGTGTAGAAAGGTGGCGGGGGAGATAATACTAAGGTGGGGACGGCGGTGAGAGTGTAAAGTAAGGGGCCGGGGAGTGAGGGTACGTGCACACGGGTATGCAGCACGGTGTAAGGTGTACTGTAGGATTAATTGCAGGTGGGGGAAGCAAGTTAAGCGTGGCAGCCTGCCTAGGTTGTATTCAGGGCGAGTAACGCGAGAGACCCGGGGAAAAGTAGTAGTGCGCTCGGGTGGTATGATGAAGTCTTCGGTGTCCACAATATATATACAGCAACTCCAGATTCACGATTGGAACAATAAATAACAGCAAGAATAACGATGGTTTCTAATTCTGGGTGCGCAGCCCAGCGGAACGCCTACTGTTTGTTCAGCGGAGATGACATTGAACTTTTCTACTGTGTGTCTTTATTATTAGGATCGACCGCGCTAACCGGTTGACCAATGAAAAGACGTCAGTCTCGGCGCGGCTGAAAACACAAAACATTTCTAAATGCCATGAACTGGGACCTTTTGTGAGGGGATGGCATAGGCTCAATTGTTCTTATTTTCAAAGTTCTTATTTGGAGCGAGCATGTCTGTATGAAAAGCGGGGTTCTTGTTCTTATTTCTACGCCGAGGGCCTCAGGGAACCGGGGTTTTGTTTCTGCGTGGATTCAACCTGACACTTGAGAGCAAGCGTGTTTTTTATGTAACAGAGTAGAACGTCGCTCAACAGAGACCTCTGGACCCGGCGTACCGCAGCTTCCGCGATCACCACAAGGTAGAAATTTTAGACGCGGTATCGCCTGAAACATTGATGCATCTGAGCAAACATTGAACCTTTAGAGGTCCACAAGGGTCACGTTCGGCGTGATTATCCTCCCTGCTCCACCAACGCCCGTCGTAACAACACTGCGACGGTCACTCTACTCTTCGATGGCCGGACCTCTCCTCTGCTCTACGGCGCTCCCCTCAAGGAAAAGCCCACGACCTTATCACCGCCCCCGCACCTCCACTGTACCTGTCCAACGGCAATTTCATGCGGCGCGTACTTCGGTCTAGCTCGAAATGCGCACGGTAGTCTGTCGTAAAGGTGGCGGGTAGGCTCCTGAGACTGCCGAGTGATTAGGTCACCTAACCAGCCCATGCTCAGTTTAACGAGTACTCCACGCTACAGCAGCGAGTTTAGACGCTTGAACTCGAAAACCGGTGGGTGCGACGAAGCATTTGGTGTCGTTAAGCATTCGTCACCCCTGCGTCGACTCGAAGGCCTCCCAATCTGACTTCGTGGGCAGTTGCCAGCAATGAATGGCGTATTTGATGGCCTCGAAGTAGGTGTCGATCAAGAATGACACCTCTTCCTTTCAACTTTGACAATTGGCCGAGCTCCTTCAATGCTTCAAGAGTTAATACATGGCCCTCGTGCATGGCACGCAGAGCGTGGCAGGCACCCCAATGTCACGCGACAGAGGTATCCTTGTGCAACAAAGCTGAGCACCTACCACCCCACCCCTCCCCTCCGCACCGACCAAGGTAAAATGTGAACGCGACTGCCGGTGGGTGGGGAGGGGAACTCCGTTTCAAATAATACTGGTGCGGAGAGGGGGGGAGGGGGGCGCTGCTATGTTTTGCATATCTTAGCGGCTAGATCATTGACCCGAAACTGCCGGTGGGTGGGGTCACGACACCCAGTGAGTCACCCCTCACCACCTTCATGAGTTCTTATCTTGCAGCTGCCCCGGGGTCTGTTCTCTTCTGTACGCGCATTGTTACCCCACAATTTTTTCGGGTGCTTGTTCTTAATACCACGCCGGAACTCATTGTTATACCACAATTTTTTGGGTGCTTGTTCTTAATACCACGCCGGAACTGAGCACGCACGTGTTCTTATGGCCAAGTTCTTACATTTTGAATTTTTCGCGGCTGCATTTCTTAACTGCTAAGTTCTTAAGTGCGACCGCCATCTGTAGCTCAAACCACTCAGCAAGGAGAACGCGAACCTGCTTGGTGTCTCTGGGCATAAAAGGCACTTTGGTGAGCGGTAACTTTCTTTGTCAACATTAGGCCTAACACCGTCTGGAGAGATAGATGGTGTGCCCAAGAAATTCTGATTCCTTCCGTGGCGCCAATAGTTAAGACAAGTGGCTTTGGGGAGGCGTCAATTTCATCATATCGCAGAGGGCGTGAAGCTCAAGTTCTGAAGCGTGATCGATCTCTCCGAGTACGGAGGGAGATAGTAAGGGAAGTCGGGGCGAAACCCAAAGAGGGCATTCACTGCACTCGCTACAATGTACGTATTGGAGGACGTCCACCATCATGATGGAATGGTGGCTGGGGGCAACATTTCGGGAGGACAGAAGGAGTAATCCAGGGGGTAGGAAGGTGAAAGTCAGAAGCGAAGAACCCGCGTATATCAACGGTGGAGGCTCCGCGAGTGGTGTCACGTAAACTAGGAGACCAGGGAGTCGGGAGTCAGTCGGGGCAAGGCATGCTGTGGGGTCGTAAAGTTGGAAAAACATGATCCCGCTGAAAGAAGAGTACATGTCGCTCCATAATGACCTCCAAGTAGGCGAATAAAATGGCTCTGATATCTGCACGCAGTAAGATTTATCAGATAATTCCCTACACCGAAGGAAAAAGAACCCTCGATTACGTACCTAGGATTCTCTCGTGAAAAAGAAACACGAACACACGTACACATCGGATTGCCTGTTGCCGACTTGCTGCGTCGATGCACTCGAGCACCACGGACAACTGTTTGGCGAGTGACGGTAGATATCTCTCGATCCTCTCCTCGTCGTGCGGAATTGCAAAACGTCAAAGCGAAGGCGCAGCAGTCAGTCCTCCTGGATCGCTACACCCGGTTTGCATGTGTTGTATTTACATTTTTCGTTTTTGTTCTTTCAGACCGTCAGCATGGCGCAAGTACGCGTGCTCCGCTGCCCGCGTCCATGGCGACAACAACACCGCCGACACAAACAACGCCTTCTAGAACAACTACAGCAGCCCATACGACACTATTTATTCAGCGCAGCAACTCTTTCCGGACAGGAGGACCAACGAACGAACCA